ATATCTTATAAATATCTGTAAATACGTTGTAAAACCTTTTAAAATACATTGTAAAACCTTATGAATACCTTGTAAAAAACCTTTAAAATACCTTGTAAATTTTTGGCGGGAAAAATTTTCCCGCCAAAAATTTAACGCCAAAAAAATTGCGGAATCACTTTTCCCGCAAAAAAAATTTTTTGGCGGGAAAATTTTTTGGCGGGAAAAAGTTTTACGGGAAAATTTTACAAGGTATTTTAAAGGTTTTACAAGTTTTTACAAGTGTTTTGGCGGGAAAAATTGCGGGATCACTTTTCCCGCCAAAAAGTATTTTGTATTTTGTGGACCTAATTTTGTTATATTTCCTTATATATTTGTGATATCTTTTATTAAAAGAAGGGTAATTTAGTCATTTTATACATAAAAAGGGGTATTTTTAAAAATAGACAGCCAAATGGAGTATTTTTGAAAAGGGGTATTAAAAAAGGGGCATTTTTGTGAGTCTCCCTATATTAAAAGAGAGTTTTTGGTGCTTATGTGTCAAACCCACAATTATTCTCATCTTTTTTTATTATTTAGTTAATTCTACTATTCATCTTGTCAAGCACTTTTAATTCCATTTACTACTTATTATTATTAACTAAACTTACCAAAATTAAGTAGGTCAAACTTTTAAATCAGAAAACTTCTATATAAAGATTTTTATATTAAATGGATTGTGGTTTTTAATTTGAAAATTAAACAATATAAACATATAGTATATGCATTTTAACATCAAAAAATTATTTTATATTTTACAAAAATTTAAATTAAAACAGCAAATATATAAGTCAAAATTCATGAATGAAATAAATACAATTTTATTCGTAAAATTAAATAACATAAGATTTAAATAATATAAATACACATGTTCTTACCTAGTTAGTTTTAAATGAGAGGTAATTAAAAATGGAATTCAGTTTAAGAAGTCACATCTATAAAACTACATTCCTTTATAAAAAATAAACAACTCAAAAACAACATTCTTTTTGCAACGGCCGGAGAGATTTAAATGTGTACAATGAGTTAAAATGACACTTTTTCTAAGACGTATGAAGTATTTCAAACGACTTGCTAATTAATTCATATATATATATATATATATATGTATCACAATAGTATACTATTAGTATTATCTCAATAGTACACTAAGGGAAAAAGTATAATTTTTAGAGTTATAGTAGTAACTAGTAAGTTTTACCAAGTGAAATAACTCTGCCGACACAACGGCCAGATAAAATGTGTAATAAACACTTCTTCACTTTGCCACCAAGATTATTACATAATTAGCTTTCAAGTGCTGGGTTCATTATATTATACGTACGTATATACACACATGCGACACATACACGTTGGTGGGGTATGCATGGTCAACAATGGGAACCCCTTTTGCAGCTGAGTGCACCCGAGGCTATAGTTATCTCACCAACATGAGAGGACGGTCTCGCGGCTAGGCTCGAAGCTTTTGAATAGCTTGATGATTTAGTTGGTCCAGCGCCAGAATAGGTGAAGAATGCACCATTAAGCATTAGATCTCCTTCGGATCTCCAATTCCAATTTCTCCATTCGTTTTCGGGCGCATCCTCGTGCTTTGTTACCTATTCTCCACCCCAAAATATATAAGCATACAATCTTAGAACTTTGAATAAAATCAAGTGACATAATTTGATACATAGCACTTGGTTAATATTAAAGAATAAATAAAAATTGGTGAACCTCTTTGCTAGATGAGTCATCAGGGGCAAGAAAACGGTTGCCTTGAGAGTTGATTGTAGGATTAGCACTTCCTCCAATTGCATACATTTCCCAATGTGTATAGTCATTGTTCACCACATGGAAATATCCATGTCTACACCTATATTTACATAACTTTTCATTAGGTTGTTAGAATCAATTTTCATGTTCTACTTATGGAACTTATAGAATTTTATCTCTCCAAATTGCTCGACATCTAAGAGTAAGATAATTGCAAAATGTTAGCTCAACTAACCCAACTATTTTTCAGTTGATTTAGACAGCATACTTATTTCGGTTGATCCATCTTAGATTTAAAGCAGTATTTGTATTTTGGCTTTGTTATTTTCTTTTAAGAGTGTCCAACCGACAATATACTTGACTTTTATAGTTGGTGACACACATCCACAAATATAGGTATACTAAATAAAAAAATTATGTTTTGATAAAATACCTTGGCATTCTTTGGACAAGGCCTTCTCCAAAATGGTTAAAAGCGATAGTGACTTGCATGTTCTTGTCTTGTACGTACGTATCACTGTGTCCCAATAACATAACCTTGTTATGATGCGTCAAATAATTGTTAGAGATCGTTATAGCCGTTGAACCACGAATCGCATCGATCAACCCATCGTTGCAATTCGAGAGCGAGCAATGATCAACCCACACGTGGCTCCCACCGAAGATGGACACACCGTCACCGTCGGATACCGTTCTATATCCGTAATGCTCTGGTGAGTCACGTACGTAAGTATTTCCACCTTGCTTGCAATCATGTATGTGTAAACCATGGATGATGATATTGGTTACATATTGTATGGTTATACATGGCCCACCGGAGATATGTACGGATGCTCCTCGTCCGTCTAGGGTTTTGAAAGAATTCATGATGAGTTCTTCTTTTAGTTGGATCGTCATGTCTCGCTTAAAAATGATCCATAGCGGTTCATCTTGAATTACCGCGTATCTTAGTGTTCCGGGTTTAGGATTTACAGGATCGTCGTTTCCTGGATCCGTGACCACATAGATTTCACCATCACGACCACCAATAGCGTTCTTGCCAAAACCGATTCCGCAATCGGCTAGCCGTTTTCGGTTGTTCTCCCAATCCTTCTCGCATCGCCAACAATCATCGATTGGATTACCAGTCCCGCACGAGAAGAAACCTAGCTTCCTTCTTGACATAGACTCGTTTATTTTCCTATAAGCATTAACCAACAAACAATATATTAGCATTTATTATTCTTGACGTAATGACGTACGTAAACGTAATTAGGTGTACTCACACAAGTCATAGCTATTAATATAATGCAGCAATATAGTAACAAGTGAGTTTGTGATCAAGATCGAAATTAGCCTTGAATAGAAAGAACTTGGAAACAATAATTTAAGGAAACATTTGAGTGTGTTTTACAGTTTTTGTTTCAATATATACCTGTGTACTTCCTCGACAACGAGCTCAGGATCGGAAACGGGCAAAGACGAAGTGAGAGCGGAGAATAAAATGCAGCAGAAAAAGATAAGTGTGAAGGATAGATACGGAGAATTTAGCATTGTGTCTATTGGGCTTTTTGTTTTTGATAATATTTAAGGTATAATAGGAGAATTAGGAAGAAACATATGAGTGAAGGGAGAAAGACAAAGCAAAGATAGAGGCTATATAGCATATGAACACTTCGGGTGATTTATTGCGCATGCAACTTGACGTTAATTGGACCCACATTGCTTTACCTTTTTCCTCTTCTTATATATGAAAATAATTTTGGTGTGAGAAACTGAGAATGGAATCATTTAGAAATAGTGAAAAAATGTGTTAAGAAATTATATCATCAACAAACCACAAAAAACAAAATGAACCATAACCAAACCAGAAAATAAATTGAGACATTTCCATTCAAATTAACTAATCCTTGCATTTGAACTCGTTATTTTGAAATGACTAAAGTTTCAAGATTTCAATACCGAAAGCCAAACCTTCACTCTCGGATGCATTCAACATTTGTTCCCTCCCCGTTTAAGACTTTTTTGTTTTACAAAAATGAATGTTTTAAATTTTCCTAATTAAAATTAATGTATATACTGTATCATTTTCTGATATAATCATATTAATCAAATATATCATGTAAATCTTAATGAAATGAAATATAAATAATTTTTTGGAAATGTAAAAATCACAAAAACTTTAAAAACAGAAGGAGTAATATTAACTCATCATTACAAATGTAATTGTCTCAACAGTTCTAATAATTAAAGATCAAACCGATAGCCATTAATACTGTTTACAACATTCAGGTAACGCTTAGGAATGAGTCACGTGGCTTAAAGAAAAAAACACAGAACTCGTAATTAAAATCTCAATGAACTTAAAGATGAATGTTGGTGATTAGGACTGTGTTAGTAATGTACTTTAGTACTAGTAATATTTAATACTACGGACTACGGTTTAATTTTGTACTACCTTTATTACTATTACTTTTACGTTTTAACGGTTGAGTATTATCATTAGCCTAACACTCACTCTAACAGTTAGCTCAATTTAACTGATTTTTTCTTTTTCTTTTTTGTTAAAGCTCATGCTATAGTATTACATTTCAAGACTTTAGTGTTTCTGCTTTCTACAAACCATATTTTGATAACTAAAAGTAACAATATGATATTGATACACTTTAAATTATTTGATAAGTTTAGTTTTAGAGTGTTAGTTATTATCTTCTTACAAAATGATTTTCTTTTGGTGTCTCAAAAATATATTTGTTTGCAGGGAAAGGGAAAAGAATAAGAGAAGAGACCCACCAAAAACAATAGAATATGAGAACTGAGCCGACACTGGCCCATAGAGGTTTGATTTTGGGACCACTGAACCATGTGCTTGAGTCCAATCTTTTATTAAATTTTACACTTATAATTTTCATAAATTCATATCTTTTTTAAAGAGTAGTAGTATATTCATATCCATGGGCGGAGGCAGCATACAACCATGGTTTGGCTGGTATAAAATGTGTTGACAATCAATGCACATGGGAAGTATTTGCATCACTATATATCCTCCTCCACACTTTAAAAAGAACAATGTCTTTAAGAACTTTATCAAACTATTCGATTATTTAAGTCTCGCCGACATTTTTATTTTGTTAGAGCCATTTATGTTGATGAATTTTAACTACGGCCAAAATATGGATTCATGATTCATGGGTTTTGGTCTAGTGATTTTTATTACTTTTTTTGTAACAAATCATTTTATAAATTTAACTAGCAATTTGTGTATTTTGGTACATAAACTGCAGTAAACGATTAATGACAATTTTCTTACTACATTTCAGACACTTTTGGACATTCATTCGATTAGTAGTATATGATTCTGTTCTCGTACGTGAAGAACCGACATTAATTTTTTTCTTTTCTTCAGAATATTCTCAACGCTGAAAAGCTAAACTATGTAGTATAATCTATACATTTTTCATTACTTTTTTCAATGATTCATAGAATACAGAAAAAATTGACCGCATTTAACTAAAGCAAGTAAGTAATCAAAGAGTATGATAATATTTAATTCAACCATTTTAATTATTGACTACATTGGCTTATCAAACTGAAACTTGATTATTTTTGGATAATCAAACTAAACAAATTACTATTTAAACCAAATGCTCACCAGTACATGTTTTTTTCTTCCATACGAAATCAATTCAAGTATTCAACTTTGACAAAGGAGAGAATTGACGTTTCTATAAAAAAAATTAGAGTCGTTGGATTAGATTTAAGGTGGTAGATATAAAGAGAACCGTCGGATCAGAAAATAGAGACAAAAGGCATGTGACCGGTTTTGCTTGAAAACTACTTGCCAACTTCTCTACTCATTATCAGTGTTCTCAGAATTAATAATTCCATACACATTGTACACTCACTTAAATAACAAAATAATCTTGATTTAATTAAATCATAATCTTCAAATCGGATAATTTATTTTCTAAAATACATAAAATACAATATCCATATCTGTATTAAAAGTATAAAACTATATAAACATGATGCCATGATCTAATGATTCCATGAAGCTTAAAACTTTTAATTTATCCAGCCCAAAATATAAAATTAAATGGGCCGAACCACCCAATACAGCCCAATCGTTATGGACCAAAATCTTTTAAAAATCGGAGGCTAAATTAAAAAGAAGGAAATATCTAAACCCTCCACGTATTTCGTTGATGACGTGTACCATCATATATAAACGGGACAATCCACTAAACTTTATTTTATTGTTGTGTTTTATTTTATTTTTGGCGATCCTCATCCATTTCCTCTCTCGTCGTTGTCTGGGAATCGGTGACTTTTTGAATCTTTGCGACTCTCTTGATAGTTATCTACAATCGTTGTTCACTCGACGTTGATACTTTCCGGTCGTTTTTTCCGGTGCTGGAGATCCGATTCCTTATCTTTCCTGTCTTGGCTCGAGATCCGAGCCAAGCAGTAAAGAAGACGACTTTGTTTCACGATTTGGAATTGGATTCTTGCGATCACAGGTCTCAAAGATTAGATTTTTATTTATTTCTATAGTTGTATACATACTTCTTTGTGTTGTTTTGTTTACTTAATCGATTTTGGAGTGTTTAAGGTCTCTCGTGTAGAAAATATCACTTGTGTGTTCTTGTGATTCACAGTGTCTATGGGTTTCATATTTACTGCGAAAGGTAAGAACTTTCGTTGGGATACAAATTTCTCATGATCATTAATAGGGTTTTGGGGGAAAAGGAAGAGTTTTTTTTGTTGGTTTAGTTTCAGTGATTATGAGGTTCTTTCTATATTTGATTTATGAGTTAGTGATTGTTTTACTGTTATAGATGGCATCGGGTGAGGGAATTTTGACTGATGGACAGTGGAAAAAGCTTGAAATAGCAACTCAGAATTCTGGAAGTTTGTCATCATCGCCCAAATCTCATACTCTGTTTGCTGATTTGAACATTAAGTCTCCCACTGGTGGCAAAGGACCAGTAGCTGGGTTTCCTAATAGGCATGTGCGACGGACTCACTCAGGGAAGCATATCCGTGTAAAGAAGGGTATAAAACTTTCTTGAACCTTTTTTGCTTGTTTCCTTGTAGCAAACAAATCCTTTGTAGTGAGTGATATGAGTATTTATCAGCTCCCTTTCAAATTTGCTTGAATGAAAGCAGTTTCTAGACTTTAGTTTTCAGTAAAAGAGATCAGGTGATATATGGTTTACTCATGTATTTATGATATCTGCAGATGGTGCTGGTGGAAAAGGAACTTGGGGAAAGCTTCTTGACACTGATGAGGGTGACTCCTGTATTGACAAGAATGATCCCAATTATGATAGTGGAGAGGTATTTGCGCCTTTTGTTTTGTGTTGGATACTTTTCTTGTTTTTTAGGAATTGTATCTAGCATCAGCTGATTCTTTCCTTTACTAGTAGTTTGATTTATGCGTTTGTGATTCATATACTCAATTTAACAGGACGCATATGATGGACTTGTTGATTCACCTGTATCAGACCCGTTGGATGATTACAAAAAGGCTGTAGTTTCCATCATTGAGGAATACTTTAGCACCGGGGATGTGAAAGTGGCGGCAGCTGACCTCAGAGAACTTGGTTCAAGTGAATATCATCCTTACTTCACCAAGCGACTAGTTTCTATGGCCATGGACAGGCACGATAAGGAGAAGGAAATGGCTTCGGTGCTACTCTCTGCATTGTATGCTGATGTCATTTTACCTGATCAAATTAGGGATGGATTTATTAGACTTCTCAGATCTGTTGATGACCTTGCTGTGGACATCCTTGATGCTGTTAATGTCCTTGCATTGTTTATTGCACGGGCCATCGTTGACGAAATTCTCCCCCCGATTTTCGTGGCTAGATCTAAGAAAATACTTCCAGAATCTTCCAAAGGGTTTCAGGTAATTGTAACTGCAGAAAAGAGCTATCTCTCAGCTCCTCACCATGCAGAACTAGTGGAGAAGAAATGGGGAGGTAGTACTCACACTACAGTAGAAGAAACAAAGAAAAAAATATCTGAAATCTTGAAGGAATACGTGGAAAACGGAGACACATACGAAGCTTGTAGATGCATCAGGGAACTAGGTGTCTCGTTTTTCCATCATGAGGTCGTGAAGAGGGCTTTGGTTCTGGCTATGGAATCTCAAACCTCTGAGCCACTTATACTAAAGCTGTTAAACGAAGCTGCTGAAGAAGGTCTGATCAGTTCGAGTCAAATGGTGAAGGGATTCTTCCGAGTAGCAGAGAGTCTCGATGACCTTGCTCTTGATATCCCATCTGCCAAAAAGCTGTTTGATTCGATAGTTCCAAAGGCTATTTCTGGAGGTTGGCTCGATGATTCATTTAAGGTTACCTCTGATCAAGATGGAGGGAAATCGAGTCAAGACGGAAAGCTAAGACAGTACAAGAAGGATACAGTGAACATAATTCAGGAATATTTCTTATCAGATGACATTCCTGAGCTAATCTGCAGTCTTCAAGATTTAGGGACACCTGAATATAACCCTGTGTTTCTGAAGAGGCTCATAACTCTTGCTCTAGATAGGAAAAACAGAGAAAAAGAAATGGCTTCAGTTCTTCTTTCTGCTCTACACATGGAGTTATTCTCAACCGAAGATTTCATAAACGGTTTCATTATGCTCCTGGAATCCGCAGAAGACACAGCTTTAGACATCATGGACGCATCAAACGAACTTGCTCTGTTTTTGGCTAGAGCTGTGATCGACGACGTCTTAGCTCCACTTAACCTTGAAGAGATCTCAACCAAGCTACCTCCA